ACACACATATGTACTCACAGGCCAGTTGTGAGAGGACTTATTCCCTTGGGCACGGCTGTCAGGTTCTGCCCAGAGCAGTCCACGCTGGTGCCGGTACACAGACACTTCTCCGGGCAGGAGACCGCCGCCATCACGTTGCCATGGTAACCATTGAGACCGACGTCGAAACCCGACACGAGAGAAAAACCGTTCAAGATGTCGCCATGGGCGCCCACCTCTGGCACGCCCATCGGGTAGTCGGGCTGGCCGTAGACGTCTCGGAGATCCGCCAGCGGGTCGTTGAGGTCATCGGTGTAGAGAAAACGAGGGTCAAGGTCACTGGCGACGTCCAGCGGGTCGTCGTCTCCTCCGGCGGGGTGTTGTGGGTAGCGGTGGCCGGCCGTGGCAGGCCCGAAGGCCTGTACAGTTACGTCCCCAGGACGGAACCCAGGGAGAGCCGAGAGAAATACAAGAAGGAACGCCGCGGAGACACGCATTGTGCTGTCTACGTCACGTGGATAACAAGGAGTTAGAAGTTTTAAAAGATCTAAATTCTCCAGAACAGCGTTAAGCACAATCTCGGTCTCAGTAGGAAAAAAGCGCTAAGACATTATACATTATGCTTTTTTTTTTCTTTTTTTTGTGGGGGGTGGGGGTTATTGTTTTCGCTCACGGTTGGCGGGCATAAAACTTGGGCTATTGACCTAGCACACCGAAATTATGAAGGAGGTGGAAAGTCACACAGCAAGAGTTGAGTGACTGCTTACTTGAATGATCATGATATGTCCCAACACGTTGGGGGTTCTTATTTTCTGTTTTCATCAACATTTGTTCCTCGTCTATTTTCTCAATTGTTCACATGAAATTATGACTCGTGTTAGTCGCGATAAAGCGTCCCTTGATCAAACAAAACTACAGCAAACATTCACAATTAGGACCCAGCTGACAAGGCACGATTCTGAAATACGGTAATGGCTGTCTACCTTTAAATGGCAAAGTGGCATTGTCGTCCGGCTTCGATCTCTTTATTTTTTTAAAATTTTTTTTTGTAGCTGATTTTTTTACAAGCAGGTGTTTGGGTTTTTTCTTTCTTCTAAGTAAGCTCTTTGGAAAACCCTTTTAAGCCCATAGAAATGTTCACATAGCTAGTAATGTCCGCTATTTCAGATCTTTCAAAAACAACCAAGGCTCTGGTGGTTAGACCGCTTGGTCAGCCGGAATCTCCAGCTGTGACGATCGGGGTAGCAGGAGACAAAGGCCCAAATGATGTGTTGTCTGTATTATCCATAGTGCTCTCGCCACAGGAACTCATGATCCCTCTCCTTTGAGAAAACTCAAAACCTGCATAAAAATGACGAAGAAAAAAATATTTCAAAAGCAAATTTTCTTAAGAACAAGACAGCACTGCAAATGAAAGATTTGAGCAAACTGAGATATGACAAGGAAGAAGGTAGCACTAAAAAAGAAATAGAAGACTTAGATCACATAGCCAAAATATCGGTCGGCTTTTAGGAAATTGTATGCATTTTTAGAGGGGAGAAAGGGGATAAAGATAACAAGTCTTGCGCCTATGGCTTTTCTCATAAATTGGTTGATAAAAATACAACGGAATAAATCAGAAGGAATATTACTTCATAAAAAGAAACTTCTGAAAGCCTTTGGGAGGGTTTGATTACCAAAATCAAAATCGTCTTTTTTTTTCTTTTTTTTTTTTGGGGGGGGGGTTCCCACCTACTTCGTTAATTCTTATCTCAAATACCCAATGCAGTGCCTTGGGATATCGAAAATGCTGTTTTCGCTCTACTGCCCATTGCAGAAAAGGAAACCAAAAGCAGCAACCGACTTCGTCTCGGGTGTATTCAAATTTGCAGCAGTTGCTTCACAGAACACTCGCACAGGCTGTGCCAATCATCACCCCCCCC